ATTGACATTTGTATGACTATCCTATTTCCATACGCTATTGAAAACAAAATGTGGCACATTCGCATTTCCCCAAGGAACGGTAGACATGATCCCTGCAAGACCAGCATGTGTTTGTTTGTTTTGATGTTCCTGATTGGTTGGTTTTTAAATTCCCAAAGAGAATAACCAAACTTGTGGTGCCATCTTACCATGCACATTGAACAACGCAGTCTTCTTAGCACACACTCACAGGCCAGTCCCTGTGTGGGCACCCCCATTTGGAGAGAGCGTGGAAGGGTCCAAATTTGAGAATGTTCCTGAATGTGAGGAGGCCGTGGGTAGAGCAAAACAACTCATGTCCGTGGCTGCTCACTGAAAGGCTAGAAGTTCAAGTCTGCCAGGAATGCCTTGGAAGAAAGACCTGGCAAACTACTTCCCCCAAAACTAGCCATGGAACACCTGATGGAGCAGATTCTACTTTGACACCCTCGGAATCTCTTTGAGTCTGCTGCAACTGGGCAGCAGCTGGTTTGGCTCTTGAATATGGAGCCCAGGCCAAATTTACCATCCCTGGACCATCCTCCGACTCTTAAGGTCAGCAGTTTGAAACCACCAGCTGCTCTATCGAAGAAAGATGAGGCTTTCTGCTCCCATAAAGAGGTACAGTCTCAGAAACTCACAAGGGCAGTTCCACTCTGACCTAAAGGATTGCCATGAGTCTGAATCAACTCAATTCCCATGAGTTGGGTTTTGGAGTTTATTACGTTGTTGTTGTTGTTGTTGTGTTGTTGTTGTTAGGTGCCACCAAGTCGGTTTCAACCCATAGCAAACCTACGCACAACAGAACAAAAACCCTGCCCAGTCCGGCGCCATCCTCACAATTGTTTCTATGTTTGAGCCCATTGTGGCAGCCATGGCGTCAACCCATCTCATTGAGAGCCTTCCTCCGTCTCATGGCTCCTCTACTTCACCAAGCATGTGTCCTTCTCAAGAGCTGGTCTCTCCTGATCAGTGTCCAATGTCCGTAAGACAAAGTCGCCATCCTTGCCTGTGAGGAGCACTCCGGCCCTACTTCTTCCAAGGCAGATTTGTTTGTCCTTTTGGCAGTCCATGATACTTTCAATGGTTTTCAACTGTACCACAATTCAAACACATCGATTCTTCCTTGGTCTTCCTGATTCAATGTCCAACTTTCACATGTATAGGAAGCAATTGAAAAATATCATGGCTTGGGTCAGGTGCACCCTAGTCCTCAAAGTACCATCCTTGCTCTTCAACGCTCTGTAGCGGTCTTGTGAATCAGATTTATCCAATGCAACTCATCTTTTGATCTCTTGGCTGCTGCTTCTATGCACATTGGTTATGGATCCAAAAAAGACAAAATCCTTGTCAATGTCAACCTTTTCTCCATTTATCACGATGTTATTACCTGTTGGTCTGGTTGTGAGGAGTTTGGTTTTCTTACATGGAGTTGTAATCCATACTGATGGCTGCAATCCATGATCTTTATCATCAAGTGCTTCGATTCCTCGCTTTCAGCAAGCAACATTGTGTCATCTTCATACCACAGTTTGTTCCTCAGCCTTCCTCCAGTCCTGATGCCACCTTCTTCTTCATATAATGCAGCTTCGCTGATGATTTGCTCAGCATATAGATTGAACAAGTATGGTGAGAGGCTATAACCCCAACACACACCTTTCCTGATTTTAAACCATGAACTATTTCCTAGTTCTGCTCACACTGCTGCCTCTTGATGCATATATCATTTCTTCATGAGCACAATGAAGTGTTCTGGAATTCTTCTCAAGGCTACCCATAGTTTATTATGGTTCACACAGTTGAATGCCTTTGCATAGTCAATAAAACACAAGTAAACATCTTCCTGATGTTCTCTGCTTGGTGCCAAGATCCACCTGACCTCAGCAATGATGTCCCTTATCCCACATCCTCTTTGGAATCCAGCCTGAACTCCTGGCAGCTCCCTGTCAATGCACTGCTCCACTGTACTAATGTTGGACGACCTTCAGCAAAGACTACACGATTCTAAAGATTACAGCCCAGAAACCCATGGAGCTGATCTGCTCGATAGCACGTGGGGTCACTGCGAATCGGAGTCCACTGGATGGGAACAAGTTCTGTTTGTTCTTTGCTTCACTGCTAGATCTCTTTGGCTGCTGCACAGAGTCTGCCACATATAAACACCCCATAAATGGGAGTCCTTGTCACCAGGTGTCAGCAGTGACCTCTCCCAGAAAGGGGCTTCTGCAGCCAGAGATGGTCTTGCCCTTTGGCACAAAGCCCCACCCCTGGTCTTTTCCAAGTCCCGGTAGTTTTCCCTTCTGTGAGAGTGTGGAAATTTCCCTGCTTGTCCTGAGCCATTTTGTGATGACCTGACGTGGAGGGCTGCAGAGCAGGCCACCTCAAGGCTGCCCGTCCCCTCACTGTCCACGTCCCCCTGCAAGGGATCGAGCCCTGGGAACCCAGGCCCTTTCCTTAGATCCCCCCCGCCAGCCCTGATCATCGTCTTCATCTTCTTGTGAACTTAGCTGCCACCTTCACACGCCCTGCACTTCCCGCCGGGGTCAAGGGAAGCCCCCACGTCCTCCCAGCATGTGCAGAGCCCTTCTTTCTCCAGCATCCACAGAAACATCAAGATTGGCTGTTCAAACGTACCCAGTTGTGCCACAGAACAACTTAGCAATCTGCTTCTGTAAAGATGACCAACCAGGAAAGCCCGAGGGAGCAATACCAGGAAAGACCCCTGCCCCAGACTGCTCGTGACCTAGCATCCATACCTGAAGATGCTACAGAGACTCCACACCCCACCCCTCTCCCTCAGGTTGGTTGTTGAGCTACGTGACACCCCTCTCCCCCAGGGGTACTCCATGAACCCTTCCACATGCAGATGACACACCTTGCTTGCTGAAAGTGAGGAGGACGTGAAGCGCTTGCTGATGAAGAGCAAGGATTACAGCTTTGAGTATAGATTAAACTCAATGTGAAGAAAAACAATGTAATATCTTATCAAAAGCCTCACAACTGGACCAGTAGATAACATCATGATAAATGGAGAAAAAGATGAAGTTGTCAAGAATTTTGTCTTGCTTGGACCCGCCATCAAGGATTATGGAGTCCAGACATCAAAAGACCTGTTGCATTGGGCACATCTGCTGCACAAGACCTCTTCAGAGCTTTGAAAAGCAAGGATGTTGAAGACTAGGGTGCGCTTGACCCCAGCCACGTTATTTTCAATTGCCTCATATGCATGTGAAAGTTGGACGTTGAATAAGAAAGCCCAAAGAAGAATTGATGCCTTTGAATGATGGTGATGGTAAAGAATATTGCAAGTATCATGACCTGCTAAAACGACAAACATCGATCTTGGAAGCAGTACGGTCAGAGTGCTCCTGAGAGGAAAGCATGGCCGGACTTCATCTCATGTACTTTGGATGTGTTATTCAGAGAGACAAGTCTCTGGAAAAGGGCATCATGCTTGGTAAAGTAGTGGGGCAGCAAAAAAAGGGGAAGGCCCTTGACGAGGCTTGATACAGCGGCTACAATGGGTTCAAACACAGCAACTGCGGTGACGATTGCACAAGACTGGGTACCACACATCGAAGCAGAATTCTCCCACCAGGACAAAACACTTAGCAATACTTACATGGAACCCAAGGGGCTAATTCATCCAGGTTCTATGTTTCCGATTGGACACTTTTGACAGTTTCTACCCAGCCCTTAGTGACCCAGAGTGTGTGCTACGGAGTACTGAGACTTTAGACTCTGTCCTTTCTAGGCATACAACATCCTCCGTAGGCCACACCAGGAGGATTCAATATGGAAACCCCACTAAGGAAGCTGAGCTTTACCTCAAACTTACTTGTAGCAGATTTAAGGAATTGGTATACTCCTTTGGACTTGAAGGCTGAGCCACTGTAGTGTGAAAAGAGACAGATGGCGGCTGTGCCGAGGTTATAGACTTGGAAGATGTTTGACATTGGCTCAGATCTCTTGCTTTGAGGGTACCCAATGAATGGTGGCCCAGCACTACCCGATATTTACTATCTTAATGTCCTCCTTGCTTTTGATGACATGTGGTAGTCTGGCAGCCATGGTTCTGCCTTTATCAATGAGTGTTATCAAAAGGTTTGCCCTATCACCAACCCCTATTGTTTATGGAAATAGGTTCCGGTGACATAAGAGTTGAATCAGTACAAGTCAACATTTTATGTATTGCTGTCTGAAGAAAGGGGGTGGAGGGGGGAGCAGCACTTTTGCCATCCTCGGGAGACTAAAAGCATGCTCCTTTTCAATGTTCTTTAAGTCTGGGGACTCAAAAGAAATCGGAGAGGTAAGATCAGGTGAATGGAGTAAGGTTTCCCAGTAAAATTCTCATGAGATAGTCCTTGTTTCCCTCAAAGCTTAAGCAACACATTTTCATAATTGGGAGCAGGGCTTCCTCGACAGAATCAACCCCGTACAAACCTGGCTTTTGAGAGAACCCTGGCTCATACACCTCGGGCTACTTCTTCCTTCCAAGAGCTGTCCCTATTGGACCAGGCTTACTACCTTGCTCACCTCTGAAAACACCCTGAACCGGTTGCCTGGATCCGAATCTGGTCTCTGCTTTCTGTTTGTTTGCTTGCTGGTTGGGAGGTTGGTTGGTTTATGTAGTTGTTATCCCAGGTACCACCTGCCAGCTGTTTGTTTGTTTGTTTGTTTGTTTGTTTGTTTGTTGCAACCATTTTCTTGACATGATTCCTGCATCATGCGGTTCAGTCGTTTAAGCATATTAAAGAGTTGTGTCATCATCACCACAATCAATTTTAGAGCATTTTCACTTTTTTCTTACACAGGTTATCTATCAGCTCCCCATTTTCTCCTAACCACCACCGCCGCCGCCACCATGTGAAGAAACCATTACCCCAGTTGCTAACTCTATAGACAGAGCTATCCTGGATTTCGTATAGAGAAAAGCACACAAAAAGAAAAAGTAGTAACAATAATGAAATACAACAAACAAAAAACATATGGAACGCTTCACCAATTTTCACGCCATCCCTAGGCAGGGACCTTTCCAATTTTCTCAGTCTTGTTCCAGTTTTAGTGTCTGTGCTGCCAAAGTGAGCATCTACCTGCTGTTGTTTTGTTTTGTTTTGCTTTTTAATCATTTTATTGGGGGCTCGTACAACTCTTATCACAATTCATACAT